TTGAGGAACACATCCATGGAGTAGTTTGTTTATCTCTCATATACTACTCGTAGCTATTATGTGTTTATAATATGTACAATATTTAGTTTCGTATTTGCGTTATTTTTTGAGCTATAATATAGTCTATGTTAGTTTCCATGTGTATTGTCTATTTACATTGGAAATTTCTTTAAGATCCATCGTGAAAAGGTAATATGCAAACAGACAGTATATTATTAGTAGGATCGTAGAGAATAAATGTTATATGTTATGTATTTTTCAATGGTAATACTGTTTAAAAATAATATATGTGACATGGACAGAACTGATGGAGAAGGCCATAGTAAAATATAAACAAAAGTAAAATACACGTACATACATTCATGTTCTATAATTACTGCGGAGTTTAGAGTGCCACGTTAAGTGCAACTAAAATTGCAATTTGTCAGAAGCATGAAATATGACTGGCTCCTTTTATTGCGAAACTCGTCACATGGAGTTGCGAATTCTTCTCGTTCGAATAATATGTGTTTGTATGTATTTATTATTTTAATGAAAATGAACGGGTGGGTTCCTAAATTTCGTGACGTCATATTTCAAAATCTAATTAACATATATATTAATATTAAGACGCGAAATTAAGGCTCTACTCATCCGTTACAATCATGAACGGATGCTGCTTGTAGGGACTGGTCTACGCTGATCAGTATGGCTTATTAAATTCGTTAATTCAAGTAACTATTTCTTTCACACAAAATCTGAAACGGGTAAAATTGTGCAACAATCTTTTAAAGAGTTTCTTTAAATTATTATTTATTATATTATTCCTTATGACACTAAGATCATTTACCAAACGAAAAAAATATACTTTAAAGTAAGTAAAAAATTATTAACTTTGAGTTATATCTCAGTCTTCATCGCGAAGTCATTAGGCAATGTACAAAACTATCATTTCTACTTAAATATTAATTATTAAACCTGGACTTAGTACGCTCTATTATTCAATATGACTTGGTTGAGTTTAAATGTTGATTTAGATAGATAATAGTTTATCTAAAGTTCTAATAACTTATGTCGAAGATGATACAAAATTCATAAATGATATAAACATGTACAACGCAGTTGTATATTTAGAATTTTAGTAAGCAATTTCATTCAGTGCAGCAACTCCGATAATATCTCTCTCTTTTAAGAATAGAATAGAAAATCATTTATTCAAATAAACTTACATTTAAACACTTTTGAAGAGTCATTATTTATTTTTTAATCTACCGCTACTTGGAATGATAGCATTCCAAGTAGCGGTAGATTAAAATCACATTTGATCACATGAAGAATGGACAAAGAACTTGCGTATCGCTCTATTAAATAATTTAGTTATAACTTTAAATGTTGAATACAAATTACCAAATAGCATAAATTCACAAGAGTCAAAAATATAACAATATAAAAATAAATTTTAGGCCTATAGTTTTACTATCTCGATTTGTAATTAATTTCTGGTGGTGGAAAGACCGCTAACAAACTATCAAACTAATCCTAGATGGTGATGGTGGTAATAGGCTCGTACCTGTCTCTCTAGATTCAAAATTGAAATATATCAAGTATAATATGGACATGTGAGTATAGTATGCACCAGTACTAAAAGGATTTCATAAGGTCGGCGAGGGGAGGAGAAAGGGGATTTGTTTAAAAAGTAGTCTAATAACCCCAGTGTTAGCAATGCACTATGCGATGTTGCCCTTAAAATTTTCCTCTGAAAAACATGTTAAATTCCTGATGAATCAGCCACGATGGGCTAACTGACCTGGTTCATGCTCATATTTTCATCCTCTACTGGTGGTCCGCTAGCATATACCGTTTGCGTGCAGTATTCCATTATCATTCAGGAAAAAATGCAAATAAACACTATAAATTCATTTTTCCTCCTTTGTGTCAAAGTATATAATATGAGACTTAGTTTAAAGTAGTCGATATATTTAGGTTACGTAAACTTGTGTTGCGTGCGATGCGTCTCTATGGTACCAACAGTTACATTGACCATTGCCCTCCTAATTACAGGTCTGAAACCTGTTGATTTATTATAATACAGTAAAAGTGATCTTTATTCAAATAACTTAATATTGAATAGTCATATTTTTTTTTATTCTACCACTAATTCATTCTAAACGTAAACTCACCAAAAGAAGAATTAGCAAGAACTTCCGTATTGCTGTTGTGTTTATTTTAAGTAAATGCACATTAACAAGTATTAGGCATGCGACAATCAAGATAGAAACCACTACGCACTATGCACGATCTTGATAGCCTATGTTCCCAATCTATATATTACTATAAATTAAATCACTTTAGCCGCTTGTTAACTGAGATTTTTCTATTATTATATTTTTATGCACTACTATCCAGTTCAGTATACAAATTTAATTGAGAACTGGCAAGAACTTCAACTGAATTTATTTCTTTTAAAAGCCAGTTTGTTTATTGTCTAACATTAAATGAAAATTCCGTGCATGGACAACTAGTGCCATGCAAGTTTATCATTTAATTAATCGTTTAGTGAGTAATAGGCTTTGTAAATTAAATAAAGTAAAGTAAGTAAATTAGTAACTTTTCTAAACGACACTGTAAGGAACGTTGAACATCAAGTTTGCCTTTAAATCAAATATTAATCGTATGAATATGGCTGTTCAATAAATACACGTGTATTTCAGCGTGTTACTATTACACGACGAAACAGTTGATTATCTTAATAAAACACGTCAAGATAGAATAGGTCGACAATCAACAATCTTTTATTTAAAAAAACAGACAAAGACGCGGGATGTGGTTAGTTTGATACAAGTGACGGTATCGTTTCAGTTTCGTAGGTCTGCGCGGCGGTCGTTAAACAGCTGTTAGCGCTCGACGGTCGAGCGGTCGCGTGTAAACACCTCCACAATAGACGCTCAAAATACTACACATATTTCATGGTTCGCTGGGCTTTTATTAGTCTCACTTATACATATAAATAAATGATACACACGCTTTTGTAGAAAAAAAAAACTTAAACTTCATAACGCGGACAATGTTATCTGATTAAACTAAGATTGAGTGCGTAGCAGTTTCTATATTGATTGTCGCATGCCTAATCCTTGTTATTGTTAACTTAGAACAACATTTATTTAAAAGAACAACAAACAAGTTTCTTGCCCATTATTCTCGTGATGTCTGCGTTCCTATGAGTGGTAGAATAAAAAAATTTTGACAAATCAAAGTGCCATTATTAAGTCTATTTAACTAATATTATTTCTATTTCTGTACGTGAAGTACGTGTCCTTCTACTTTGACGAAATGCTTCTAGATTTTTTTATATATTTACATTTCATTCAATTTAATATCATCAAGCTATATCTATATCAAAGCTTCAAATTAATTACCACCACGCAGTAGAACGCGACTGGAAATCTCTTGTCTTGAGAAATTGTGAAGAAATTTCTCAACTTCTTTATGAAATTATTTGAGATGATGAACTGTCGAGTTATTCTCGGTAGTTAATATCACTTAATTAAAATTAATAAAGTGCTTGTGTGTAATCAAGTTTATTGGTATAATAACCTTACCACTGTAATTACAGATGGGATAGGCAGAGGCTATTCGACGGTAAGGGAAGGATTTGTAATGAAGGAGAGTGTAATAAATTCATCGTGACAGGTGGCCCACTATTAAGATTTAAGTTTAATTTAGTTTGTTATAGTTGTTTATATTACCAGGGTAATTGACTACAATATGTCTACTACTCTAGTACTATCTATTCAAGTTACGACCTCTTTCAATTAAATAATGTCTATCTTTGTTCTTATTAGTCTTTAATATATTTATGACTAGTAAACTGTCCCGGCTTTATAATACATACACACAACTTATATAACGGCCTCCGTGGTTTAGCGGTTTGCCACACCTCCTTAGATTGGATGGGTTCGATTCCTCGTGCGTGCGGTACACATGTATTCATGAATATGATTATTTGTATCAGTCTTTGTTTATTTACAAATAAAAATATATAAATGTATTTCTATCAGTAGACAACTGCATAGTACCCATAACTTGCTTAATTTGGGACTAGATGGCGTTGTGTGAGTTGCACTAAGATATTATTATATTACGTATTGATAACATTGCTAGTTATTAAAATATTTGAAGTATTTCTTTAGTACATCCATTATCAAAAAGGAATAAAATCTTTCCCCTTTATTGTAATAGTCCAGATATAGATTTCCTTTTGCTACCGGTCCCATTGTAGATACTCGATAAAACTATTTCGCAGATAATAAAAGAGAATAGGAGCCTTGAACTTTATATTACAAAGAGTGATCCAAGCAAAAGGTCAAGCGGCCATATGTCCCCGGTGCTCGGGTCGTATCATCATACCACTACCATCCTTTTTCATTTGACGACCTCGGTGGTCTGACGGTTTTCATACACCACCTTACATCTGATGGTCGGGGGATCTATTCCTCGATTTATATCCATAAGTATGCATGTTTGTATCGGTCTAGATGTTTTGGATTGTGTACATCTATATATACATTTATATGTGTATACATAATAATATTATGTATTTATTTACAAAAAAATATATATATATAAGTTCTTCAGTAGATACCCATAACATAAGCTTTCTTTAGTTTGGAACTAGATGGCTGTGTGAATTGTCCTGAGACAATATTATTATTTATTTATCCTGATATATTGAACGGAATAAAGATTATATCCGTACATTGTGTATTCGTATATTGTCATATCTGTGCCTACATATTGGCAACCTAATTCGGTGTAATTAGTCTGTATTTTTAAAAATATTAGTTTTTTATTTATTTAGATAAAGGTTCACTTAGAATAGGAAACTAACTGCGCCTACCTGATGGTAAGCGTTAACTGTTACCTATATAATGTAGAACTATCATACCAACATTGTAATTTTATAGCGTAGACATACTACTCTTAAAAGCGTGGCAAAAAGATATATATGTATATGTACTTACGTTTATGATTACTCTCTCGCAATAGTCGTGGTCATGGTGAATGGGTTCGAAGGTTATGACACCTCCTTGGGGCGGGCGCCCCGTCTCTTCCTCTTGACTGCATAATTTCGGCAGTGACCTGAAACAATTATTGATACATTAATAATTGCCCATTGTATTGAATACAGCTTAGTACGTGTAAAATTGTGAACAAGCAAATTGACCACTATATACATATTATACATATATGATGGTTCTGCCTATGTTATACTACCTACCTACGATATACTACTGAGGACTAAGGTCTCAAGAAAAATAATAAGTACATAATATTTAAAATAAATAATTTCTCTAAAGTCTGAGTAATATTTTGACTGTCTGACTTCCCCACATTATGTAATGTCTTAAACATACTTTTTGATACGTGAAATAAAAATCAACTATTAAAAGTATTTATATAATTGTAAAATCAAATGTTTATAGCTTTTATATTAAAGAAAAATATTATATCCTTTTTGTATTCAAACTAGAAATTTAATAAAAAAATACGATTAAAACAGTTTTTAAGAGAAGAAAAAAAATACAGATATTGTACAACAAAACGAAAAGTCACTTTTATAGAAAACATAAATACGCATCTTTTGTAAATGAAGCTATTTCATAATCTATTTTTACCAAAATCTACAACTTACGATGATTTCTAAACTGATCATTATTAAATTCAAAGTAAATTTTGCAGAGTTACAAGAGCAAAATGCTCATAGTACGTGATTCTTGAAGAGGAATCGAACGTGCCCGAAAGCTTGTCGGCCTAGAGGGCCCTTCAGTATTTACCCGCCGACCATTTTTCCCTGTAGCAATTGCCTTCAACACTGTTAACCTTTAAATATAGGGTTGTCAAATACTACCCTTACTAAATAAACAATCTATAAATGTCTTTTAATTAATTTAATTAATTCAAGAGCGTCGTAGTCTAGTTAGTTACTATTCTAACGTGGATATCAATGATTCTGAGTAGAATCTGCCCGATAGCAACACTGTATGTGAATTTATAAACATACTGGACTTCAAGAACGAAAAGCTAAGATAACGAACCAAATTAATACGGGAAACTTCTGTGGCGACAAAGGATTCAAATATACTCAGAGAATTGTAATCTACCACTGGCTTCTCCATTTGGGATGACAGTTGTGAGGAGGTTACGCTGAGTTAATTGGAAATAAATAATAGAGTACATTTCATTAAAAAATCGATGGACTATCTGAAAGATGATATGTAGAGAGAATAAGCTCAAATAAGACACCTAACGGCGAATAGTAGATGAACACGAAATACTGCATCGATCACAAAAAAAATATAATTAGTAAATTTTTGGTATATAATATCTTAAATAGTTAAAAAAGAATAATAAATATATAAAGTACATTAATAAAGATATAATAGAATGTAATAGATAGAAAATAAACTACGAACCCTATGAAACTAAGATTTAATAAAAAAACATAAAAGCAGTTTATTTCCCCGCTGAGCCAGTAATGCGATTAGTTATGCGAGGACAGAGCCCGCCCGCCTTCGATGCAGATCGGATTTTATGCTGCTTTTTAGAAGAATTGCATAAATTTAATTAAAGTTTGTAGATGAAAATACAGCTTTATATAGTATAGATATAAAATGTAAATTTATATGAAATGAGAACGTTTTATTACACTTCTTTACATAGGACACAATTACATGAATGGTAATGTAAAAGAAGTGACAATGTCACAATATGCAAAACGAGGACGTAAGAATAGGTGTTAGTATGAATAGTTTAATAGTATATTAGGTAATGTTATAATGGAAAAAAATAATAATTTGGACTTGTGACTATTTGACGTTAAGCAGTATGAAAAACAAAACATGATTTAGGTTCAATTATAACGTCCAACATCGCTCATGTTTTGGCCAGTTGTACCGCACCATTATTTGTGGTTTCCATACAAACTCCACACACGATTATAGGATTCTTTTTATATAGTTGTAGTAGTTGTAAACAAGTCGATGGTGGTAAATATTATAAACATTTATAGCAAAAATTAGTATTCGATTACTCGCTCGCTACAAACATTGTATTCATGAGTATGATTGTTTGCATTTATCTGGGCATTTTCTGTCTATTATTTACGGCGGTTACTACTACATAAAAAACTATATAGTTATTTTATATTTAAAATCATATAAAATTACATAAAATTTTGCAGAAAAGTTATTATCATTAATTCAGTATTTCTTTCTGTCAGCAGGCCTATGAAATGGTTGCCCTACATGGAGTGGTGTTATGAAAGTGCTGCGTAGTGCTGGGCTCAGCACTTGAGAGTCGAGTAGAGAGGGGAACGAGCGTTGTTGTTCCAAACGCCTTTTATCTCCGATCGCTCTTAACGCCACTGAAGACGCTTCACTCATTAAAAGATGGTACGACGAATTAAATACTTCAACACATTCAACCACATACAGTTAAAAATAAATAAAAAAGATAATACCTTTACGAGTTATTCATTTTTAGCTTATGATTACTGTATTAATTTTAAATTTAATATAAAGAAAATATGTTTATTTGATAACACAAATTACATTAATTAAAAATATAAATACCAATATTTTTATTATTATTGTAAAAGAGCTGGAGCAGATTTTTTCAGATCTACTCATCGCAAATTTTATTCCGAAGTAATTGATTAAAGTACACACCACACGATGGACCCGGCTCCTGCTCGATGAACTCATGGAATGTTAAGAAATTCATGTCGTCAATGTCTCTCTCTCTCTTGTTATACCAGACAGAGTAGATGGGCATTGCCCATTGTCCACGTTACGGTAAACAAGTCAAGTGTTAAAATTTACATGTCGACATTTCATTAGGTATATCTCAATGTATAGATTTGGGTTTCTAATTAACGTCACGTAGATATAGAAATTATATAATACGTTTTTGGTGACGACCCGCTTCGAATTCAGGACTGTTAAAGTTTAATTTAGGTCAGTAAATCACTGGACCAAGGCGGTTTAACAGTTAAAAGTGTTCTTTATTGTTCAAAATTATGTATCTATTTATAGCTATATTGATTCTAAATATATAGAACATATAAACAAGATAATAACAGTGCGGCCATTACTGATACTCTTTCCTAGATTGAGATAATACATTTTAAAGCACCTTTGGTGCAACTCGGCATACTGGTGGTAATTGTATATTTATTAGACTTTCACGCCTTAGCAGTTTAAATAATAATAATTAAATGCAAATACAGTTAGTACTTGCGGTGAAGACCATGGTAGATAATTTTATATCTATATATAATATATTAAATTGTCGTGTTACTAACCATAGTTTGCCGAAACTGCTTAAACAAATTTAATAAATTTCATATGTACACTTGGTATGGTCGAGAATAGGTTGTCATTTATTTTTTATAAGCCTAAGTGATAAGGGTTACAAATCCACCATATAAAAATAATGAAAAAATACTTTCATATTTTTACATAATTTATTATTTATTTTTTTTATGATTCAGTAGAAACCATCAACCACTATTTTTTATAGGCATGTTAATTTATATGGAAAACGTTTGTCTGGTAGTTATGATGATAAAATTTGTGTTATAAGTTTCAGTATCGACGATAATCGTGAACATTGTTCAGGAAAAAATGGATATTGTACCTAATATAAAAATGACGTGTTCAAAATATAAATAGAAAAGCTTACAAATTGAATTTGTAAGCGGTCGTATTATTTTTAGCAAATCAACATTTTAGTTGCTATAAGTCAATTCTCATACTCAGTTCGGTTCGTACTGTTGCATCTAAATATAGATTTTCGTAAAGCTATAGTGAAAAACATTCCCACCAGCTGATTTATAAGATAAGTAATTCGGATAAAATCGGGCTTAGCTTTCTGTGGAAGTGTAAGAGTTGTTGATGCGAGAAAATAATATCGCATTTACCTGTATTCTGTTAGAAAAGTATGCTCAAAATGAGAATATTTTTCCTTTGAAGCCAAAGAACAAGGAACAAGTGCTGCAGCAGATATAATGTAAATTTAAATTGAAGTGCGTTTTGAAAAAGAGAACTTTTAGTACAAAGGACCTCGTAAATTTAGTAGTGCAACTAAATTAAGTTCTTCAAATGTATACACAACGTTAAATTATTTATCGTCCAGCGGAGCATAATTACTTTATCTATAGTATTACTCCACCATAGTATCTAAGTCTCCTAACATAAAGCGTTAAAACAAATAGCTACATTAAAAATCCTAAAGCGATCTGGTTATTTCAGTAGTGAAACGAGATCACTTGAAACGGTTTATTGTTATACGTTTCACTACAGAGAGCGCAATTCAGTTTCAGTGGAATACTTCAGTACACTCAATATAATGTTATCATATACATAAATAAACAAAATAATAAACAAACAATTTCCATACATATTGTAATTTATTTAAGTGACACAATTGTATACATTCATTTCACAAACGAAAATATCATGTTGCAGGCACAGCTAATAATATTCTAAGAATAAAAATCACAGTATGAATTTATAAAAGGTCAGTTAGTAATAAAAAACGAAATCATTAAATTATAACGTATACTATAAAACCCTTCAACTTAAAATAAAAATCATTTATCCCAGACTGGGCAGTAATCCGAGGTTGCTAGCTAGCAACTTCAGTCGAAAAGAACGTCAAAACTTAATTGTAACATTGATTTTACTTAAGTAACTCTGCTTGTTGCTATAAAATTACAGTAATAATAGTAATTTACGAAATGAATAATAATTCATTGTTTAAATTGCGAAAATAAAAGTAATATGCGAATGCTTATTGGTTTACTGTGTTCATCAAAAGATTTAATATTTTTAAAGAGTTTCTTATAAGTTCTTGGCACTAACTACTTTGAACTCACTGTAGATTTGACTTATTGTAAGCGCCTATAATATACATATATACTATATAAGAGAATAAAGCTTTGATTCAATTTGCCTAACATTTCCATAATTGTCTATATCATATAACGAGCTTAGTATATTAACATAATATAGAAAGATAGTAATATTTAAGACAAAGACTAAAGCGAGCCAAGAGAGATATATAACAATTTCTGCATA